TTGTTTCTACTGTCCTTGGGTGTTGGTCTGATATTATGTTACTTTATATTTCACTAATGAGAGCAGTCATTCTATGTCTGTCCCTCTCTTTCGGACTCATTTCACTTAGCATGATATTCTCCATGCCCATCTACTTGTAAGCAAATGTCATGACTTCATCTTTTCTAACAGCTGCGTGGTATTTCACTGTGTAGATGTACCATCATTTCTTTAACCAGTTATCTGTTCTTGGGAACTCAGGTTGTTTCTAGATTTTGGCTACTGTGAACAGAGCTGCTCCCGGGAGAGCACAAGGCAGAGTCTCCTACCCTGTGTCTGACTATCCTCGCCAGGGCCCAACAGCTGAAGACCTCCAGACCCCAACCAAGGCCTTACTGGGGCCACTCTCCACACACTTGGATAAGCCTCAGACATAACAGAACTGGCAGAGGAACCCAGGTGTGTGGGACCCGGGGCTGAGATCTCCAAGCCTGCACGGTTTGGGACTGGACCTGTCAGTAGCTAGACAGTTACACCCTCCAACTGCCGTGTAACCCCAACAACGGCCAGGATCCAGAGATTATCACAAGCTCCCGGGAGCGCGCGGCCGCATTTGCGGCCGCACAACTATTCATTTACTTTTCTCTAAGTTTTCAGGGTACCTTAAATATCCAACCCGCACGGCAGAGCCTGGCAAGCTATCCTTGGTCTATGCCAAATAGACCAAATTGATATGCCAAATCCAGTAATAAATGGATCTCATTTCCCTAACCCTGAATATGCAGAGTCGAGAAGGATATGGAAGGAGAGGCTAATAAAACACCAAGGCAGACATAGGCTGCCAAAACGCAGAAAAACAAAAATGATTGTCTGTACTTTTAATGCTCGTACGCTGGCATCTACTGCATCCATTGAAGACCTTATGGTACAAGCGCGAAAGATCAAGTACGACATCATTGGTCTGACCGAAAGGAGAAGACATCAATCCCATCATGCTGTTTTCGACACTGGAGAAGAACTGTTCCTTGGAACATGTGATAAAAGAGGCATTGGTGGTGTTGGTATCCTTGTCAACACAAACTTAGTCACGAGCATTGATTCATTCGAATGCCTAACAACCCGAATCGGACGATTACACTTGAATAAATGTGGCTCACTACCGGCAGTTTCTATCTTTGTTGTCTATGCACCAACATCCAGTTATGGTGAAAGAGAAACTGAGAAATTCTACATGGAGCTGGAGAAGTTCTATAAAGAAGATCACACCTTCTACAAGATCATTGTCAGTGATTTTAATGCCAAGATAGGACCAAGAAGATCAGTCGATGAACTCCACATCGGAACCCATGGCCTGGAATGGAACGAACAGGGTGACAGACTGTCTGAGTTCATCATGTCAACCAAAACCTTCCATGGTAACTCACAATTCCAAAAGGCTGAATCTAAACGTTGGACATGGGAGTCTCCCGATGGACGGTTCCACAATGAAATAGGCCACATCATATTCAATCAGTGGTTTTGCCTAACCAATGTTGCTGTTGTCCCAAAATTCCAAACGGGATCAGACCACCGTCTTCTTCATGCAAAATTCTACCTCACAGAACGAGGAGAAAAGAATGCAAGGTTTAAGAAGAGGACTTCCAGAACAACCACCAACTGGGAGCTCTTTATCTCTTTGCGGCAACATGGGAAGATGCCGTCATTGACAACATTGATGAGGAATACGATCGAGTGATTCAGCACCTCCATGATTGTGCAAGGAATGCCAAGAGAGAGATAACCACAAAAAACCGTCTTTCTTCGAACACTCTTGAATTTATTCGCCAACGTGGCTTGGCACATGCCTCAGGCAACCACAAGCGAACATCCGAACTGGCAAAACAGTGCAGAGAAGCCATCAAGGATGACCTCAAAAACAGGAGAGCAGCAGTACTGGTAGATACAGCAGAAGCTGGGAAAAACATTCGTAATGCCCGCCTGTCCTTCACCAACTACAAAACCAAGATGACTGCCCTCCGACATCATGATGGATCTATCACATCTTCCAGAAGGGCAATGGAGAAGATTATTCATGACTTCTACTCAGATCTCTTTAATAGCCACATCCACTTGCCCACATACCACATACCACATGATGGATATGTCGTTCCCAATGTTCTCCCTTCCGAAATCCAACATGCCATCTCGTCGGTAAAGAAACAAAGAGCACCTGGCCCAGACAAGATCAGACCTGAACACCTGAAGAACTTACCATCAGTACTCATCAATACATTGGCTCGACTCTTCACACGCTACCTGTCTGAATGCAAGGTTCCATCCCACTGGAAAACCAGCAGGACTGTACTACTATATAAGAAAGGAGACATCCACGACATTGGTACAGTTCTTGGGCAAGATGCTGAGAGTCGGGGCTTCCCTTTTATGTGTGTGTGTTTTAAATTTTTTTAATGAATCACTATGAGATACAGTTAAGACTTACAGACTTTTCGTGATTACATTTCAGTCATACAATGATCGACTACCTATCCCTCCACCAGTGCCCATTCTCCACCACCAATGTTCCCAGTATTCCTCCAGTCACCCCTCTTCGATCCCCCTGCCTCTGTAGCAGTCTCATTCCCTTTTACTCTCTCTCTCCTTTTAGGTGTTATGGTTTGCAATATGGATACTAAGGGGTCATCATGTTTGGTCCATAGTCTACTTTCAGGAAACATCTCCCATCTTGAGCTAGCTCTCCAAGCATCATTTCGTTGGTGGTCCCTTCTCTATCCAAGCTCCCTTTTCCCCTCAACATTTGAGGCCAGCTTCTAAGCCATGGACAGAGCCTCCTGGCCCTTGTCTCTATTGTCCTTGGGTGTTAATCTCCCATTATTTTACTTTATATTCCACAAATTAATGCAGTCATTCTATGTCTGTCCCTCTCTCTCTGATTCATTTCACTTAGGGTGATACTCTCCATGTTGCTCCACTTATATGCAAATTTTGTGACTTCATCTTTTCTAACAGCTTCATAGTATTCCACTGTGTAGATGTACCAGAGTTTCTTTAACCAGCCATCTGTTCTCAGGCACTCGGATTTTTTCCAGATTCTGGCTATTGTAAACAGTGCTGTAATAAACATACAAGTGCAGATATCATCCCTATAAGGACACCCATGAGATTCTTCAAAGAAATTGATCAAAATTCATATGGAACAACAAACCTCCATGAATAGCTAATCAATTCTTGGGGAAAAGAAGATGGGAGACATCACCTTCCCAACCTCAAATTCTACTACAAATTGGTAATATTTAAAACAGCATGGTATTGGAACAAAGGCCAATGGAACAAGGTAGAATATCCTTACACACACCCTCAAATATATGATCATCTTAATCTTTGATAAGGGAGCAAGAAGTATGAAGTGGAGCAAGGAAAGCCTTTTTAACAAATGATACTGGAAAAACTGGACAGCTGCATGCAAAAAATGGGCTCAGACCTCTTTCTAACACCATGCACAAAAGTCAGCTCAAAATGGATTAAAGACCTTAACATCAGACCAGAATCCATAATGTGCATTGAAGAAAAGGTCGACAGAACCCTCCACGACATTGAAGCTAAATGGCAAAGATGATATGCCACTGACCAAGCAAGTGGAAACACAGATAAACAAATGGGACTATCTTAAACTAAGAAGCTTCCATACTTCAAAAAAATTAGTGACCAGAATACAAAGACAATCTACAGAATGGGAAATGATATTCACCCAATATCCATCTGATAAGGGGTCAATATCAAGGATATACAAGGCACTGGTTGAACTCTATGAGAAGAAAACATCCAACCCCATCAGAATATGGGGCAATGAAATTTCTCAAAGAAGAAATTCGAATGTCCAAAAGGCACATGAAAAAATGCACTTTCTCACTAATCATCAGGAGATGCAGATCAAAACAGCAATTAGATATCATCTCACACCACAGAGACTGGCTCACATCCAAAAGAGCAAAAGCAACTGGTGTTGGCGTGGATGTGGAGAGAAGGGGTTTCTCCTTCACTGCTGGTGGGAATGTCGACTGGTTCAGCACTTTTGGAAAACAATATGAACATTTCTCAAAAAATTAGAAATTGAGCTCCCATTTGACCCAGAATAGCACTTCTGTGAATATATCTTGGGTGTGCAAAGTACAGTAGAAGTGTTTGTTTTTTAAGGGAAAGAAAAATCTAGTTGCGAGCCAGAGGAGGGTGAGTTTCACGATTCAGGATGGCAGTTGATGATTTTATTTGTCTCCCAAGATTCATAGGTATATTTGCTAGTTTTATTTATTTAATTTATTTATTAAAGCCATGCTCAGGATGGGCAGGTGCCATCTCCCTCTAATTCTCAGCTGACCTGGTTGGAGTTCCAATGTGTGGGTGAGGATATAGTGCTGTTTAGGGGCTTCAACAGTTATATTATGATGTGGGGTAGGAGCTAGAGAGGCCATAAAGTACGAAAGTTGAACTATAGGCTACAAGCAAAGCATACTCTTCAATCTTGTCACTATCCCTCTGGAGATATACGCTAGTTTTTAAAGGTGATAGGAGTGAGGGAGGCATCAGTTTTCTACATATTGTAGGGTATAATCATTAATACTTTGACATTTATTAAACTTTATAAGAATTCAAAGAGAGAAAGCATAATTTGGTGAGATATTTTGGGGTAACATGGCATTATCTTCAAATGTCTTTGCTGGGGCTAGAGCAATAGCAAAGTGGGTAGGACATTTGCCTTGCACACGGCCAACCCAGGTTCAATTCCCGGCATCCCATATGGTTTCCCAAGCACTGCAATGAGTAATTCCTGAATGCAGAACCAGGAGTAACCCCTGTACATCACTGGGTGTGACCCAAAAAGCAAAGAAAAAAGTCTTTACTACTACACCCAACTTACTATTTTATGCACCAAAAATTAATATTATGCATTTTTTTACAAAAATTTCTGGATAAAGAGAAATGTAATTTTTTTAAGAGAAATGTTTTTTTTTTTCTTTTTGCAATAGGGCTACATGATGGAAAACCGAATCTCGGGATTGAAATGTGACACTGATGTATTTGCAACTTTTGAAGGTGACAATGTTGTTATGCTTCAGGTAAGAGTTAAGAAATTCTGTTTTTCTTGAAAGATACTCTTAAAAATTTATAAGGGGGGTCAGGCACAGCCAGCAGGCTCAGGGCTTACTCTAGCTCTGTTCTCAGATAGCATTCCTGGCAGTGCTTGGGGAACCATTTGCTGTGCCAGGGATCGAACATGGGTCAACCTTGTGCAAGACAGTTGCCTTACCAACCCTGTTCTATCTCTCTGGTCCCAAAAAGTGTATTTTTTAAGAGCAAGAGTTATCCAGAAATCTAAGAGTTTTTATACATTTTATCTTCTTCTGATGTCTTTATTTAATTGACAGGTGTTTTCCTGTTAGGCACTTGATTTTTGCAGTAGGTGAACAAGGGATTAAATTATTTCTATCTCACCTGATCTTTTGATGATCAATTACATATTTTGCTTAAGAAAACTATTTCTTATCCATATTGAGTCAGAGTTTTCTACAGAGAAGACTATTCCCAAAGAATATGTAAGGCTCCAGAAAAAGAACAAGCAAAAGACATGAAAAGCCAATTTATAAAAGAGCAATTGATCAGCCTCACTTCTGATCAAAGAAATGTACAGGAGGGCATAATGTTTTCTTTTCACTGTCAACTTGGTTCCTGTGTAGGAGCATGCTGAAGTGTACCAGTGTTGTGAGAACAAAAGACATGTTTTTTTCATGCTATTGGACTGTATAATTCTACTGGTTTCTAATTCATACAAAAAATGTTAGGACACAAACATTTCCTCTGGTAAATTATTTATTATGGGAAAATATTGGAACCTAAATGTTAAATAATATGAAAATGATTGTGTCAATCATGTTCTGCCTAGAAAAACATGATGTAGTATTTAAAAATGTGCTCACAAGGTTTATTACAGCAGGAAAAGAATCTGATAAGTAAATAACATAAATTTTATATAAAAAGTGATCAACATTTGGTGTTTTGGGGTTTTATTTTAGTTTGGTTTCTTTGTTTTTGATTTCTGGGCCACATTTGTTGATACTCCTGGCTTTGCACTCAGGAATTACTATTGGCTGTACTTTGGGGGGAGGGTCACACCTGGGATGTCTGGGACCAAAAGCATTAGCTTCATGCAAGGCAAATGCTCTACTGACTGTACTATCTCTCTGGCCCCAACACTTGGTATTTTAAGACATAAGAATGGGGTCATCTGACTCTGCTTAAGATGGAGTAGCTCTTTCTTCCCAGAGCCTTCTCTTTACAATTCAATATCTTATGCATAATGCAACAAACAAGCATGGGCAGACTTTGAAAAGGGTAAAGAAATCAGGCTACCTAGGGACTTTGAGGTAAATTCTAAGTTCCTTGGGGTCCTCTTTGTCTCTCATGAATTCTGGACAGATCATATATGCCTGAGTTTCTGACATTCACAAATAGAATATGTTCTGGAAAAAAACTTGATTCCGTAGCCATAAGACAGGAAAGATGGTGGCCCAACAACAAAAATTTCTTTTGGCAACATTTACTCTACACAAACCATACACAGCTCAGAAAATGAGAAAACACCATGTACTTAGGATCTGTTAGGAGTTGAGCTTCCATTTGACCCCCAATGAAAGGAAGTAGAGAGAAGGAGGTAGCACTTTTTCCACCACATCCAGTGATGTTGAAGTGACCAAGTAGGAAGCTAGTTTTTCATCCCCTGCCCAGTAGAACTGCAAGTCTCCCATCAGGATAATGTTCTCAGAGCCTGTTGGTGAGCTAAGCCTTCACCTCCACCCAGTAGAAATAGCTCAGTAAGGTAATGAAAGGTGGGACCAATCACTTGTAGGTTGAACTCTCTATTCAAGTGTCATTGTGGTCCAGTGGAGAGTTAATTCATTACTCTCTGGCATCTGATATATTAAACTGAGAGGTATGAGTCAGGAATAATCACCATTCTACAATCTTCCTCATCCCTGATCTCAGGGAACACATTGAGGAGCTTTACAGGAAAATTGCAAAAAAAAAAAATCCCAAACCCAAACCAAAGAAACAAATGAAAAACAAGTACAGACAATATAAAGGACAAGAAGGCATTCTGATGCATCTTCCTACCCTCTCACTCCCTATAGAAGAGGACCCCATTTGAAGATGAACCTTCATCTTCATCTGTTTTTCCTCTCTGGGTGATGAGTGGACATTAAACATCTCCCCCTTTTTGTCGGAATGGAAACCAAACTTTTGCCCTTCCCAAGCTTTAAAGAGAAGAAAGGGGTAGGGGAATTAAGGCTAGTTGGCAATGTACCTTCCTTCCACTTCCCTGGTATAAGAAGAACCAAAAGGTGCTGAAGTTTCACCCCATATGTCTGCATCAGGGCAATGCATGTAACTGCACCATTTTGAGATAAGAGTAAAAGTAAACAGATATTTAGATGAAAATTATTCTGATACTGTAATGAGTGTTCTAAATTAAACACTGAACCCTACAATAAAGGTTAAAGAACAAAAGTATAAAATTTATTATTGCCACAATAATTTGTTAAAGAATATACACTATGAAAAGATGTGAATTGTGACATCAAAAACCTAGAATGGAGTAGAGTATAAGGGTAAAGTTTTTATATACAATTGAAGTAAATTATTATATATTTTAAATAGACAGTTTTATATATAAAACATATATGTTCACTCATGGAAATCACAAAGCAAAAAGCCACAGTAGATATTATGAGAAGTGGAAGAGGCGATATTACAATGGATGCCATAGAAATGCGAAGGATCAATTGAAAATATTGTGAAAAATTAAATACCAAAAGCATGATAATCTGGAAGAAATTATTGAACTTCCAGAAATAGTCTATCAAGAATCAATCATGAAGAAATAGCTAATCTGAATGGATCAATAACAAGTAGTAAGATTGGAATGATAGCCAAAAACTCCCAGCAAAGTAAAGCTCTGGACTAAATGGCTTATCTGTTAAATTCTACTAAACACACACTAAAAAGAGGTAAAGGTAAAGGTAAAGGCCCTCCCGTTGATCGTCGATTTGCTCGAGCGGGCCCAGTAACGTCTCCATTGGAGACTTTGTTGTTACTGTGTCTGGCATATCGAATACGTCACGGGGAGCTTGCCAGGCTCTGCCGTGCGGGCGAGATACTCTCGGTAGCTTGCCGGGCTCTCCGAGAGGGGCGGAGGAATCGAACTCGGGTCGGCCATGTTGGCCGCTTGTAAGGCGAACACCCTACTGCTGTGCTATCGCTCCAGCCCTTAACAGTAATCTCTCTCAAACTTTTCTAAAAAGCAAAAGGGGAGGATGCACTATTATACTCATTTTTTGAGGTCAACATAATACCAGTAATAAAACCAAATAAGGACATTATAAAATAAGAGAACACAATAGAACAATATTTCTCATGCATTCAATGTATGGGAAAATTATCAGTGGCAGCAACTACAGAAAACATAGCAGATTTCCCAGTATCTTGGGAGCTGGAGAGATAATACAGCAGGTAGGGTGCTTGCCTTCATGTGGCTGACCCTAGTAAAATCCCCAGCACCCCATATGGTTTGCCAAATCATACCAGGAGTGACCTGAGTTCAGAGCCACAAGTAAGCCTTGAGCACCACTAGAAATGGCCCCAAAACAAAAACAAAAGAGAGAGAAAGAGAACCATAGCAAACTGAATTCTGAAAACCATTAAAATGATTAGACATCATGATTAAGTAAGATTTTTCTCAATATAAAAAATTTAAATAGACAGTGTAAATCAATAAACATGATCACTGTCCTCCTGTTGTTCATCGATTTGCTCGAGCGGGCCCAGTAATGTCTTCATTTTGAGACTTGTTATTACTGTGTTTGGCATATTGAATACATCACGGGTAGCTTGCCATGCTTTGCCGTGGGGGCGAGATACTCTCGGTAGTTTGCCGGGCTCTCCGAGAGGGGTGGAGGAATCGAACCCGGCTTGGCTGGGCTGGCTGTGTGCAAGGCAAACGCCCTACCGCTGTGCTATCATTCCAGCCCAATAAACATGATACACTACATTAATAGAAAATATAAATCATAATTTCTTTCAATAGATGAAGAAAATGCATTTGACAAAATTCAGCATCTTTTCATCACAGCATCTCTCAACAAACTGAGTATAGCTGGACAAGGACTATACTTGAACTTATTGAAGGCCATATATGACAAGCTCACAGTCAATATACATAATATACATAAAAAGTTGAATGTCTTTCCTTTTTAGATCAGGAATAATACAAGAATGCCAGATCTCACTATCCCTACCTTACATAGTTAAGTTCTTGCCAGGGAAATTTGGTGAGGAAAAAAAAATATAAAGTATCCAAATAGGGATAAATAAAATGGTATCTCTTTGTAGATAATTTGTTCTTCTATATAAAATCCTAAAACCATCACCAAGTATTGTGAGAATAAGTAAATTTAGTTGTTATAAGCATGGCAGCTTTAAAAAACTAGTTGTGATTCTATATATGACACAAAATATAAAAAAGAAAACAATTCAATTTATAACTTAAAAAACAAATCATAAAATCAAGCAGAATGTGAAACATCTGTACACTGCAATACAATAAGGAAATAAATAGAAGCATAAAAAATGGATCATATCTTGTCCAAATGAGAATATTCCAAAGTTCATAAACAAACACAAATGTTAAGGCAATCCTAAGAAATAAGAATAAAACCAGAGTCATTCCATTCTCTGATTTCAAACCTTACATAGCTATAGTAACCAAACAGTGGGGTACTTTCATTTAAAAAAAGTGTCCTAGAAGCCAGTGAAATACAATTAAGAATCCAGAATAAACCCATGCTATACAGAAAATATTTGACAGGGGAACCAATAATATGCACCTGAGAAAGTATGTTTTCTTCAGTAACCAGTGCTGGGAAAATGAAATATTCACCAAAACTGAAATTGAATCACTATTTTATACCTTTCCTCCAAATTAGCTGAAATTATTAGAGACTTAAATACAAACCAAAGCTGTATAATTCCTAAAAGGAAACAGAGGGAGAACTCCAAATATGTT